TCACAACAATGAACAAGCGTCAACATGCCATGATTAAACATGCTAACAAGTCGCGCAAAGAAGGGAACTTCGAAATAGGAAGTTATGTCTAGGTCAAAATGTCTGAGTTATTTTACGAAGAGGGTGTATCACGATAAGCTTCTTCCACTGTACTATGGCCCTTGGCAGGTTCTAAAGGTGGTTGGGGATGATTTTGGTCCGTATGTGATTGACGTGCCTCCTCATCTACGCACATATCCGGTCTTTCACGCGTCCAAATTGTTTCCACACATCGATGATGAGACTTTTCCCTTCCGAGATCCTATGATACCTCGTCCTATTGCCGACGCCTGAACAGACAAAAAATAGGACAGCAAAAAAAAATAAAAAAAAATGAATGCTGACTCAAATCGAAACCTGCGGCCCTAAGGACGGTCGTGGGCCTCCAGGGCGTGCGTCTGAGGTGTGTGCGGCTCAGCATGTAACAGTGGTCTACACATTCTTCTTGACCTTCCTAATCATTGCTCAACAATCCTTGATCGTGCATGTGTCGATGATCGATCACTTGCCATATATGGCAGCCAACGCCAGTGCCAAACAAGGTCAGAGAAGAGAACAGAGAGGGGAAGAAAGAGAGAGAGAAGAGAGAAGAGAAAAAGAAGAAGAAGAAGAACGGATACGCATAGATATAGCTTCTCCCGAACGTGACTTGATTTGAAAAAACAACATGAAGCACATGGCGGTGAGGACCTGACAGTTTTGGCTGCCCGCCTGACAACACTCTTCAGGCTTAGTCGTGGAGGTATATACCGTGCGTAGCGAAGACCAAGACTAGACTGGGAAATGCCGTCTGACCGGATCCTCAGATCGATCAAGAGGGATCCTAACGAAATGGATTCGAACTCATTTCCTGAGAAAACAACGAAGGTACTAGGTTATACAATAGGCCTCAGGACTGAAACCGTCCGGCCCTTCAAAGTAACTTTTGACACCAGATTTGAACTCAGAATCATGAAACTAAAAAACCGTAGTGACCAAGGCCTCAAGACTAAAACCTTCCGGCCTTCTGAACCAAGCTTCCCAAACTCATATTTAAACATCTCGCAAAACCGCCGAACATCCGAGAGAAAGTACACAGAAAAAAAAGGGTGGCCTCCGCAACCTAGCAAGTCAGTAAAGGTCCCCTGCTCGAACCAGACCCACAACAAGAAAACAATCTCCTAGAAAAATACTGCCACAGTTCGAGACTGAACAAACTGTCCCCCCAAAAGCTATATTCAAAAGGTAATCATCTACATTCGAACAGCCGACCCCATCGGTTCAAGATAGGAAACCAACAGTTCCAACAGCCTGCTTGGCAGCAAAGTTAACCAGCGCTCTGTCAAAAAAATCATCTGGATAACCTCTCTTCCTTTCGAAGTAAGTAAAAAGGCAAATTCCATCCCATCCACAGTCGTAAAACTCCTGGCTCGATAAAAAATTAGCAGATCACAACCGTTTTTTGCTAGCGGCTCGAATAAGATAAAAAATCTTGAATATTCTGAAAAACCAAAGGATCCATAACTGGCACTCCGGTTTTTATGTACAACAATGACCACAACACTACATGGTTCCTCAAAACGCAACCGACAAAATCCCAGCTGCTACCAGAGCTAGTCCGTTCCAACTTCAAATTATTGTCATAACATCCCTGAAATTTCTCAAAGACATCACTGGCCTTAGATCTTGAAGAATCACAACCAAGAGGTAACGGAAGAAGAAAGAGACGTCGTCAACAATGCGGAATGCCCGAACCAACACCCGATCAGAACTCATTAAAGGCACATAGTAAACATGCAAGAGCAGGACTGGTAGACTTCCCCATAGGAATACATATCACTTGGCGCAGTAAAGTGCTAGATGCAACAATGAAGGTGTTTTCCAGCTCAAAAATGACAAAAGATGGTACAATAGAAAAACCCAGAAAAATCCAACCATCTTCTTTGCTTCCTTTGGTCAGCCTAACTGCCTTCCCTCGATTGCATACCAGGACTCCGGCAAACCCTTCCCCAATCCAATGCTCAATCACCCAACGCAATGCTTTCAGAATAGAAGACTGAGGCAGATTCGAAAACATCTCTTTAACATCAAAGGAACCACCAAAGGTCGATCCCCTTCCCTAAATGCTTGGGGGAGCAACGAAGATATCCCACGAATCAGATCAAGAGTGCAATGCAAATTGAAGTGTGAGAGCAGAGGCAATTTCCAAAGTAGCAGATTCACCACGCGTCCAATCCTCTTGCTAGCCAGAGCACAATTCTCAGACCACGAAGGGCAGATAGGACGCCATCGATCGACATCCTTGTGTTTCGGTAAACAGTAAGCCCGACCGAACGATCCTCCCTTATTCCATTTGCCAATTTTTTCGAAGGAATCCTGATGATACTGCAATCGACAACTCTCAATGACACCGGGTTCTGAGTCACCAACCTTGATGAAAGGAGGATTATCCAAAAAGAGTTTCTTCATTCCCTTACCATAGATCTCAGCACAGCAGACAAAAATATCGCCCAAATTGTGATGAACAGGGGAGCAAACGAGACTGTTGAGTTTACTGTGATGTTGTCGTACAAGATCTATACTACAAGGTGGAAAAGAGGCGGAGGGTGAGAGTGAAGCAGAGGAGACAGTAGACAAGGAGGTAGTAGTGGAAGAATAAGAAACAGATGTGTTATTCAAACAAGTCACCAACCATAGCGTCATCAACACCAGGAAGAAAATTGTAAGAATTAGAGGCTTTTAGGATTTGTTTTCTTAGACTGAGGATAGGGTTGTGTGCAGAAGGGCGAAGAACATTCTTGGAATTCTTCATACATTGAGGAAAGTCAGCAGAGGAACTCATCCGAAATGATACATGTCCATCAACCCTTGGAAATGACGACTCAACCTTTTTGACAACTGCACGAAAAATCTCCTCCTCTCGCAATCTTCTGAAAATTATGTATCAAATCACCAACATTTTTATTGCGGCACCAAACAATTCTCATCCTACGAATCAGAACATCTTTCCATGACTGGTGCAATTCCAGCATCCCCACAATGCGAGCACAAGCCTGTCGGATACCACTCTTACAGAACCTTCCATCGTAAACAATTTGTACCACGAATCGTTGTCGAATCGGAATACGAAAACGTACAGAAATAACTTTTGAGAGAATCAAACGTAGCCTACCACGAAAACGTTTCTCCTTAAATGATCGAATAACAAAAAAGCCGAAAACAAAACGGTCGAAATCCCAACTCCGTAATTCAGAATGGGAAGGAGGACAGCTAAGGAGGAGTGCAAGACGAGGTTTGAAAGAAAGAGCTTTGAAACAGTGAGGCAAAACAGATTCAAAAGACACCGTAACACCGTTGGTAAACCATCCACGAGAAGATCGAAGTTGATCCTGTCCAAAAGTGCAAGAGACACTGGAGGTCCCAAAGCAATGCTTCAACACTTTCCAGTTATCTTGCAACAGATCTCCTCCATGACAGACAACCACAAACTTGCATACCTTCTGATCCCTACAATAGTTCAAGATACGTAATAAACTATATGATACATACCAACAAAAGAATGAAAACAAACCAAAGATCGACCGTGGACAGAGGCGGTAGACATTGGACAAAACAACCTGTTTCTCTTTTTCTGTCGTTCTCGCTTCCCCAACCGTCTCTTTCGACATCTCTGCGATTTATCCTTCGAAATATAGATGAGGCGACAACAATCGGATAAAAATTCTCTCAGTTTGCAAGCGATCGTCTTCAGAACACACACAGATAGGAATAGCAACATATTGGTGGGCTCCACACCTTCTAATCCATCTATACAATTTTTCATTACGTCTACCACTTGTTTCACGTCCCAAGTTATTAACCCTATAAATGTGCTCCGCCCATCGAACATCGAGATTCCTGCAAGTGCTACCGACATATAAATGCCAACACCAAGGAGATACTAGAACGTAAATAAGAGGACCATCCACATTCACGTCGGAATCACAAAATTTCCACCGTGCAGAAATATGGGGATTTTTCGACGCCCAAGGTACCAAGCCGTTAAAAATTAGTAAGGATCACAATCAAGCGGAATAGTGAATCAAGTAGCCTATCACGTAAGAGACGAGGTGAAGTTAACCTAAGACGAACGCAAGACCGAGCAACAGACCATAGACAAGACGCGTTCGGGAGAGATTCTAGGAAACCGCAGAATCTTTCCCGTCATTCGTACCGCCATCAATCAACCCAGCACAAACATCCTCAGAAGTATCCTCTGAAGTCGTACCTTTCTTCTTCGTGTCTCCAAAAGCTGCAGCGACTCTCTTGGCAACGATTTCATTAATCGACTCCGGTAGTGTCGAGTACACGACTCCTCCCTTCTTACAAATCTTTATCACGTCCTCCTTTGATGAACGCCTCGTGGTTGTTCTCCTCCACACCATCTTCAACGTCACTCATCTTCTTTTTTCCTCGCTCGTCTTTACCTCCGTTAAGGTCAACCACTTCTTCAAGTTTATCACGTAAATAACTTCTCGATGTTTTCTTCACCAATTCCATCTGAGCCAGCTTCTCTTTCATCTCTGCGAGTTCCTGTTCAGTTTCCCTCCGTCGATTTAACTCTTGCAGTCTCAATTCCTTGAGTGCGTTGACCTCCAAGTTGTGCAGCTCCTTCCGTTGCGACATGTCAACACTAGCGCGTGGTCTCACCGTAGATTTGACTAGAGTGGTCAAACAAGCATCCCTTGACTGCGCACAAGGCGACAAGGCAACCCGACTTCGTTTGTTCCCCGATCGCAATGCTTCTCTCTTCCATGTTTCTGCTTCGACCGCTATCGCATCTTGCATCTTTTCCAATGACCGGACCTATGCCTCCAGCGATTCAACTCTCTTCTGCGCCCCAACAACAAGTTCAACTTTAATCCTCATCTCCTCCTGTTGTCTCATTAAAATAGCGATGGCATCGTCTTGATTTGCATGGGACGTGCTGGCTGCACCCGCACCTTGCACCTGCACCTTATCCTGTTCCCCTGCGAAAGCCTCGTAAACCTTGTCCAATTTTGTATTCATCACTCGATAGAGTTTTGACTGGAACTCTCCTCTTTCTTTCCTATCCTTCGTAGGACGTTCTTCTTCCTCATGTTCTTTCTTCTTCTTCTCTTCTTCAGCCTTCTGAGCCGCTTCGCGAGCTACATCTGCATCATAACGTGCCTTCATCTGAGCCACCATATCCTCCAAAACACTTGTGTTGATTCGTATGGTACAATCTGCCGCCTCTGTAACCAGTGTTGACAGTCGCGACAGTCGTGGAAGTGGTGGGTTCGGAAGATTGAGCGGAAGAACGGGGAGGAGGAAGAGAAAGAATAGGACCACGAGCAGGAGCAACACCGTTATTATTATTATTACGGTTATTAGGGCACCAACGAGCAAAGTGGTTCAGGTCACCGCAAATGAAATAGGTACGCACAATAGTAGACGTGGGAAGGTTAGCCATTTCGATAATACTGCTCGAAGCCACACAATCGAAGTCTAACTCTTATGACGGTTACTCCGTGAAATAAAATGTCGATGATCGATCACTTGCCCGATATGGCAGCCAACCTTACGAATAGAACGAGCGTATAGTCATAGCAGTTGCCACAAACAATCACACAAGGCCAGTACCACACAAGGTCAGAGGAGAACAGAGAAGAGGGGAAGAAAGAGAGAGAGAGAAGAGAAGAAGAAGAAGAGCGGATACACATACATATAGCTTCTCCCGAACGCGCTTGATTTGAAAAAACAACATGAAGCACATGGCAGCGAGGACCCGACAGTTTCGTTTGCGAAGGTACTGTACATTACAAGTACCTTGCTTATATACCGTGTGTAGCGAAGACAAAGACTAGACTGGGAAATGTCGTCTCACCGGATCCTAAGATCGATCAATAGGGATCCTAATGAAACAGATTCGAACTCATAATCCTGAGAAAACAACTAAGGTGCTACGTTATACAGTAGGCCTCGGGACTGAAACCGTTCAGCCCTTCAAAGTAACTTTTGACACCAGATTTGAACTCAAAATCATGAAACTAAAAAATTGTGGCGACCAAGGCCTCAGGACTAGAACCTTCCGGCCTTCCTAACCAAGCTTCCCAGACTCATATTTAAACATCTCGCAAAACCGCTGAACATCCGAGAGAAGGTACACAGAAAAAAAGGGGTGGCCTCTGCAACCTAGCAAGTCAGTAAAGGTCCCCTGCTCGAACCATGCCCACAACAAGAAAGCAATCTCCTAGAAAAATACTGCCACAGTTCGAGACCGAACAAACTGCCCCCAAAAAGCTACATTCAAAAGGTAATCATCTACATTCGAACAGCCGACCCCATCGGGTCATGTTGATCGTGCACGACCCAGAGAGTTCGTGTCATGCTTTTAGGGCTTTTAGCCCGCATCGGTTTCTTAAATCATCCAGTGCAAGCCTCACCCTTCACAATCTCGTTGAAATTTCTATCACAGCTTGCCAGTCAAACAGGAGCAGAACTGTTGCTCCCCCATTTGGTTGCTCTGTCGGTTCAAACCACTGCTGAAAAGAAAGTAGCAACTTAGCAAGGGCCATAAGGGCTGCTTGTTTTTCTTTTTTTCTCCCTTTTTTTGTTTGGAAAGGGCGGCAGTCTTCATATATATCCAGGTGACTGGCCCCACGCAATTCCAGATTATTATGGAAGTCGTTGTAGTGTGAGGAATGTGTCCTCAGGGGGGGCCTAGACAACATGCACATGTTCTGGCATGTGGCCCCCAGCAAGCCTCGTGCCCGCCCTAAGTAAAGGCGGGCCTGAACATTCACGAGAGGCCCTCATCTCAGCATTTTCCAATGCAGGTCTCAGACAGTTGCTGCACGACAATTGGTTGAAGTGCAACCTGAGCCTTACCCTGGGCTCTTCCAGAAGAAGCAACTGCGCCAGGCAGTTGAGCCCAGGGCTCGAGTGGTTGTGCCCTGGCCACACACATTTTGAGGCCGACACATCACGAAGTGGCCATGGGCCAACGAGAAAGCAGCATTGTTGTCGTACCTACCCTGCGGGTTAGTGCAAATGCAACAAACATTCGGACCATGGAAAATTCTAGGTGTGCCCAACTAAAAAGGGCCCAGGCCCTCAGTTGTCGGGATGGGCCTGGGCGCGGACACGGGGGCCCGACCAGAACCTACTGGAAACTTCCACGGTCCGGCCCAAGGAGTCCAGCAGCAGCTGCCACTTCCATATAATAAGCAAGCCAGCCAGGGAGGGGATTCTGGCCTAGGCAGGCAATGCTGACACGCTGCTGCGCTCTGCACATCTGCTGGCTGGGGCGCGCGCAGGCGCTGAGAGTTGAGGGGCGCTGCAGGGCAGCGGGGCGCTAGCGGCCATAGCTGGGTTGCGGGGCGAATAGGCAGAGGAGGGCGATGGGGGTCTTCGGGAGGCGGCGCAAAAGTGGGTGGGCAGGGGGTGATGAGGGAGACAAGAGTACGTACCTGGTGTATGTGGGAGGTCGGCATCGATGTTGACGACATGTACATTGGTCTTCAAAGTCGAAGTGAGCCTGTTGCATGAGCGTAGGTAGGCTAGGTAGGATAAGTAGAGTAGGCTGGGCGCTGGGCGCCAGACAAAGAGGAGCAACATTGAATATTGCGTTGGTGTGGCCTGACTCCTGAGGGCTTGAACATTGGCTCACGAGTTCATTGTATTGCTCTTATTTGGATGGAACCTTGGTGCATTTGAGCTCTCTGCTTGGTACATGACTATCTGGACTTCTGCGTGATTTTGCAACTTGGTTTTCTGTATATTGCTCTCGGTCATGCAATGAAAATGAACAATAGCGAGATGACAATATCCAAATTGCACAATCACATTGAAAGCCATAAAGTATCACAGTGTCCAGAAAGCAGCATTGCACCAATATAACACCAATGGAGAATCGAACACTCAAAACCTAATGTCAATGAGAGCTTCCAGGCCCTTCTCTCTACTTGGCGCTCGGCGCCCAGCCTACTTCCTACACAGCTACTGTCTGCCTACTAATTGACAATGCAACTGTTGACGTCAGCAGCCAACGAAGTACTTGAGATGTTGCCCAATGCAGACCATCGCCAATACCAGGTATGTGCCCTCACATCATCATCATCATCATCATCTTTCTCTCTCTCCCTCAACTTTCACCCACGTCTTCCCTCTGTACACCCCAAGACCACCTCTGCGCCTCACTGTAGTCCAAGCCCCAGCCAGCTATGGAGGTTGCGCTATGGCGCTGCCCTCAGCAGCGCCCTGCTTCTCACACGACCGCACACGCACAGCACATTGCCCTTACCGCACAGCAGCACGCGAGCCTACGCTCCAGCAGCGCCGCCGCATAAATTGGCAAGCGCCTGAACGAGTGTCCAAGCAGCGAGTTCTTTCCTATATGGAAAGAATCTGCCTGCCCCGATGGCCTGGCTGGGCTGGGCCTTGCCCAGAGAGAGTCTGCCCGCCACGACGGCCTGGCTCGGCTAGGCCTGTGCCCAGAAGCTTCCGGTAGGCCCCAGGAGGCTGTGGCTCTGTTGCAGCTGCTGGGCCTTGTTCGGTTGGACCTCTGTCGCATACCGTAATGGTACAGACCAGAACAAGAACCGACCCCTCTCACATAGTACAGGATAGCGCAGCGGAAGGCTAAAATACCAATGATCAGACCAATCAATGTTGCAATGCAGACCAAACATAGTCTGTAGCTGTTGAGAAGTCAGGTAGCAAGAGGGTGAGGGAGAGATGGTGGACTTAGAGGATGAAGAAAAAGAACTCTCTCTCTCTCTCTCTTGTACCAAGTACTTACCTTTGAAGGTGGCGCCTTGTTGCAGGAACATCGAAGACGGTGCTGGAGCTATGGCGCTACAAGTAAGTCTCCCTGGGCGGAGGCCTCCGCCCGTCTCTCTCTCCCCCAATGCTACTCTAAGCTCCTAACAGCGCCCAACGCTGAAGACTACTCTAGCGCTAGCTACTACTACTGAAGCACTCTTGCAGACTGCTGCGGCCGAATTTTGAAGACTGCCTCCTGAACTGCACGTGAAGTGCCTGTGAACTGCCTGCAGCCTGTAGGGCGGACCAGTACTATATAGTGCTGGTCCGGCTGGGAGGCTGCTCTTGCCCATGCTGAATCGTGCCAGACCCTGGCGTTGAAGTTCAAACAAAGGTTGTCTTGAAAAGGGCCTAAGAATGGCCTGTGCTTGACCTTGGTCTGGTACCCAAGTTTCAGGACAGGTCGACTTTATGAGGGCCTGAAAATGGCCCTCCTTTTCAGGCTTTTAGGTTGAAACGACACAGGGCCTGGAGGGCCCTTACTTTTCCGTCTGGTCGGGCCCTGCATGCCCATGTGGCTGCGCAGTATGCCACACCCCCCCCTCCTTGAAAGACCGAGCTTACCTGCGAGGGCAAAGCTGCCTGTAGGAGGGAGGGACCAAGTCCGGGTGGGAGGGGCAGGTCGTGAAACTTCTTTATCTAGTCTCTCTCGTTCGTAGTGAGCGTAGATCAGAGGTGCGGATGCTTGCAAATCTGCTAGTGAAATCCATCGACCGTCGTCAGGATCGCATGCCTTGAAGGTAACCTTGTACTGTCGAGGCTTGTTGTTGTACTTGCGATTCGTTATGACGCAGTCGACTTCTGATGACCATCCATAGACGGAGGGTCTTGCGATCGTCGGCCCGGGAAATCGTCACTCTTAGCTGGTGTATATGTTAGCTTCGACGCGTGAAAGACCAGGTGTGGTCAGAAAGGCCGTATCCTCGCTGACCTCCTCCTCCCACGGACTGCCGACATTGACGCCCCTTGCTCTCCCTCCTCCGTTCAGAAGTACCGAGACTTGTTGGCTAAAGCCCTCATCAACATGCAAAAGGCTCAAGTCCGCATGCAGCAGCAAGCCAATCGGCGTCGCATACCATGTCCTATCCGCGCCGGCGACCTGGTTTGGGTCCCCGCGGAAGAGTTTGCGCTCGAGCAGGATGTTTCGTGCAAGCTACTCCCCAAGTGGTTTGGACCATGGACCGTTCGATCAGCCGCGTGCGACGAGCCCGACGGCGCATCCTTTGTGATCGACATTTGTCCTCATGTCGATCGCCGGATGCAACCAAGTGTTGTAGGCGAACTCGATGTCAGGGAGGCGGTCAACCCAATCCTTCTGGTCCGGACGGATGAGTGTACGAATCATCATTTGAGCGGTTTGATGTGCCCGCTCCGTTTGCCCGTCCGTTTGTGGATGCCCAGCCGAACTCGAGTTCATTTTGGTATCGGACTACTGCACGAGAGAAGTCCAAAATGCCGACATGAACCGAGTGCCGCGGTCGCTAACGATGTCTTCCGGTACGTCGTGGCTGCAAATCCAGCCGGTGTGCAAGAGGCGCCCAAGATCGAGAGCCGTGGCGTAATACTTGCAAGGGAGAAATCGCGCGAATTTACTCAATCGGTCAACGACCGTGAGGATGCTGTCGTGCCCGAGGCGATCACGAGGAAATGCGCCGGTGACGTCCATAGCAATGGAGAGGCCGGGTTCCCGCGGGATAGGCAACGGGCGCAACTCGCCGTAGGGATTGCAGTTGTGGGGCTTGCTTCGTCGGGAAACTTCGCAAAAGTCGCAACACTGAGTGACATCGGTGATGACGTCGGGCCACCGGAATCATTGCCGAAGTCGTGCAATAGTCCGATTGACTAGGAAATGACCGGCGAGTCGCGAGTCGTGGTACTCGCCGAGAAGGCGAGTCCAAAGACGACGGTCTCATGGGACGAAGAGTAAGTCCTTGCCTCACGAGAGGAGAAGCAAGTACCCGTCGGCGATGCGATAATTGTTGGCCGGCGGGTGATCCGAAGATAGCTGCCCATATAGCGTGGCGAAATCCGGATGGGACTGGTAGCCCCGAATGAAATGCCGCTGGAGTTCCTCGTCCAATGCGAAGGCATCATGTGTCATAGCGCAAAGATTGGGTCTTCGCGAGAGTGCATCTGCTGCGCGATTGGAGAGGCCGGCGAGATGTTTCGGTGTGAAGTCAAATTGGTCGATGAAGTACATCCATCATCCAATAGTGCTGCTCGCAGTATCTTGCACCTTGTAGTAGGTCAACGGGTTGTTATTCGTGACCCATGTGAACCTGCGACGCCCAAGGAGTAAGTGCCGCCATCGCTTGCGAGCCATCACGAACACGAGCAGCGAACTTCCGTGGAGTTGGTGGGCTCAGGCCATACTTGGATGGCCTCGATCTTGTCCGTGAGCGGACGGATGCCTTGCGGCGTCACAAAATGGCCCAAGTACTCGAGCTCTTGCCGTGCAAATTCGCATTTGTCGCGGTTGGCTTTGTACTTGGCTTGTCGTAGCCGTTCCAAAACGGTGCGCAGGTGCTCCACATGCTCGTCCCAACTCCGGCTGTACACCAAGATATCGTCGAGGTAGATGAGTACGAATCTGTCCAGCATATGTCGGAAATCCGTCGTCATAGCCACTTGGAACGTGGACGGGGCATTCGTAAGGCAAAAAGGCATAACCAGCCTTTCGAAATGCCCATATCGCATCTTGAACGCGGGCATCCATTGGAAGTCCACGAACGTCAACGGGGCGAGTTCTTCAAGTCTTGACCATGACATCAAATCCCCGGCGATAGTTGGCGGCAAAGCTGCCGAAACGATTGCCGATGGTGATGAAACCGCGCATGCGGTGGATTGTTGCACGTGGAGTGGCTGGTCCAACGGTGGGACCAAGTGGACAGCATAATCCTCGTAAGTGAACCGAGGACTTGCGACATCCGTATTCTCCCCGGATGTGTAGGAGGCCGCTCGCAAGGCGGACGGATCTGGCGGAGTGAGAGGTGGACTCGCCTCACCTCCCGCGCAGCTCAGTTTCCCGAGTTGATTCGAGGTCGAACATCCTCCTTGCCTTGATCTTGGCATTGGGAGGTTTTGTGCTTGCTGCTGTTACACCGATAGCAGCAGCTGTATCGACTGCGGTACTTATATTCGGCCTCAGTCAAGTTAAACTTGACCCATGGTACTGGCTGTCCGTTTCTAGCTGGCGATGCCGTTTTCGCCTTCCCTTTTCCACAAGAGTTGTTGTTGCTTCGAGGCTGGACAGCGGCCACCTGATCTCCCTCACGTGATGCTGGGGTGGCTGTCGGGTCTTCCACATTGTCCGGTTGGACTGCAGCCACGGGCTGCGGACGTGGACCAAATTTTCGTTTCTCCACATGGGTTGGCTGCCATGCTAACCTCTCGTGTGCAGCAGCCCTGTTGGTCTTGATGATCTCATGCGCCTTGTCGATGATTTCGACGAAGGTCGTGTACTGTTCACGATCACCAAGTGCGAGGCTCAAGGCGGCACACGATCGGTTGTAGAACTCCCGACGCAGATGCGGGAATGGCAAGTCGAGATCAGGTGTTGCCACGATCTTTTGCCATTCCGTGAGCCAATCGCATGTCGGTGTGTTGCCTTGAGTCATATTGAAGAGGCGCTTAATGGTGAGCACCGGGGCATCGTCAACAATGAACCGCTTCTTCCATTCCCCTGTCATCTCGTCCCATGAGATCTTCTTGTGCAGGTCGGAGACCTGGACGCCGTGGATGGTTGCCATGCTGCTGAGCCAGATTTGGCATCCGCCCTTGACGTTAAGGAACAGCGCCGAGATGTACAAGTGCTTGGGAAGGTCATGAATCCCAATCTCCGTTGTAAAACCTTGCCACCAAACAACTGGGTCCTGATGCGTATAGTCGTCAAACTTCTCGATCCAGAACGTCGGCATCTTGTACGGCCGCGATGCACTTGTGCTGCCATCGTTGTCGGGCGGCTGGTGTAGTTGCCTGAGCTGCTTGCTGATGGTTGCTGGTGCGACGAAAGTGTTGATGTCGCCGAGCATTGCGAGTACATGGTCAATCCGTTGCTGCAACTGGCGGGTAGAGGCTGCACTGCTGGGTTCGCCAGCATCTGGTTTTGGTGCTGCTTGCTCCAAGTCCTGTACAAGGGTATGAAGTGCCCGTGTAGCATCCTCGCGCAAATCCTTGTGGTTCTGCACTGCCTGTCGGAGATTCTCCAGTTCCTTGTGTTGTTTCCCTAACTCGGACTGCAGGTGGTTACAAGTGTAAACCAACCAGGTCACGAGTTTGGAGAGGAACTACTTGTGCTGCTCTTCTGGTGTTGCGTTGTCGTGGCCCTCGGATGGTTCAAAATGCCAGAACTTGCGCCTGTCGGCGGTGGTGGCTTCGTGCCGCTGCAACAGATCCTGGGCCTCCTTGCGGCGGGCCTGGGTATCTGCGTCAGCTGCGGCCTGAAGCCGCTGCTTTTCAGCTGCTGCTTCCGCTTCAGCCTGTAGGCGGGCAGCCTCGGCTGCCGCCTGGTGCTGTTCCTCAGCCTCGATCAGTGCAAGCTGAGCTTGGAACCGCTATCGGTACTCGGCAATGGACTCGTTGCCCACACCGTCATGATGGCGGGGCACTGCTGACGTTGGTACTGCTGCTGTCGTGGCACTGTTGACATGGCACTATTGCTGACGTGGCACCGACACTGCTGACATGGCACTGGCACTGCTGATGTGGCACTGCTGACGTGGCACTTACCAAACCGGGAATGCAAACAAAGTGCTGGGTGGGAGGGAAACGCAGGAAGGTAACCAAACTGCACTTTCCATTCCCGGTCCTAATCAACAGAATCAAACAATAATAAAAAAATAAAAGAAGAGGATCCTTCCTCCCCACCTTTTTTTTTTTTATAACATACGTCGATCAGCTATTAGTGAGGCATTACGGAGGGGTGCTATGAAGATCTAGGCAAGGTTTCGCAAAGTTTTGGCTTTCAAAAAATTGCGATCTTGAAAAAGAAAATTTGCGCGAAATAGAATGCAGGTTCCACTTTCAGAGAAGGATAGATCCAGTTTCCGAGAATATGACAACCTCCCTAGTTCACCTAATATGCCCAGAGTATCTACGGAAAAATGCAATGCTAATATCCAAAGTTGCGAAAAAGAAAAAAAAAATTGCAGAGATTTGATGAAGCCCTACTTGATTCACTAATAATCAACCAATCAATCAATCAATCAATCAATCAATCAATCACACAATCAGTCGATCAAGCAAGCTGGATCCTTGATTGGGCGGATCCTCTGATTGAGAGGTCCGCTCCGATAACAAACTGTCGCATACCGTAATGGTACAGACCAGAACAAGAACCGACCCCTCTCACATAGTACAGGATAGCACAGCGGAAGGTTAAAATACCAATGATCAGACCAATCAATGTCGCAATGCAGACCAAACGTACATCATCATCATCATCGCAAGGTGTGAAGGGGGCTGGCGCTCACACAGGAAGAAATGCGCCAGTCCCAACCATACACAGACGAGGAGGAGGGGGATCAAACAAAGAAGAGGAGGAAGATGGGAATGTCGTCAACACCAAGTCTTCGATATAGGTCCCAAATAATTGCTCGTCCAATGTCCCGATCCCAATGTCGAGTCTGAATCCAAATGTCGTCAAATCCCGAAGTCACAAATCTCTCTCTCTCTCTCTCTCTCTCTCTCTCTCTCTCTCTCTCTCTCTCTCTCTCTCTCTCTCTCTCTCTCGTAGTCTGTAGCTGTTGAGAAGTCAGGTAGCGAGAGCGTGAGGGAGAGATAGTGGACTAGAGGAGGAAGAAGAACTCTCTCTCTCTCTCTCTTGTACCAAGTACTGACCTCTGAAGGTAGCGCCTTGTTGCAGGTACATCGAAGACGAAGCTGGAGCTATGGCGCCACAGGTAAGTCTCCCTGGCCTCCGCCCGTCTCTCTCTCTCCCAACGCTACTCTAAGCTCCTAACAGCACCCAGTGCTGAAGACTACTCTAGCGCTAACTACTACTACTGCAGCGCTCCTGCAGAGTGTTGCGCCCGAATCCTGAAGACTGCCTCCTGAACTGCACGTGAAGTGCCCATGAACTGCCTGCAGCCTGCAGGGCGGACCAGTACTATATAGTGCTGGTCCGGCTGGGAGGCTGCTCTTGCCCATGCCGCGAATCGTGCCAGACCCCGGCATTGAAGTTCAAACAAAGGTTGTCTTGAAACGGGCCTAAAAATGGCCTGCGCTTAACCCTGGTCTGGCGCCTAAATTTCAGGACAGGTCGACTCTATGAGGGCCTGAAAATGGCCCTCCTTTTCAGGCTTTTAGGCTGAAACGACACAGGGCCTGGAGGGCCCTTACTTTTTCGTCTGGCCGGGCCCTGCAGGCCCGTGTGGCTGCGCAGTATGCCACAGCCTCCCAACTGTCTGTGTACGATGCTGCGATTCTTGCCCAGGGCCTGCATTTCAGGAAAGCCTGGAAGGCCGTGGAAAATCTTTGCTGCTTGGGCCTGTGTTCCCTCAACCAACTGGCACGTCACAACTGCCTGGACCCCAAATACAAAACTGACAGCAATGGGCCTTTCGGGATTTGTTAGGCCAGCCTTCACTTACGGCGGTCACATCTGTATCAGGGCCCCTCAGGCCTGCCGAGGACCCAGATCCTCGCATTCCCTCCTCATTTACTTCGATAGTCCTCTGAGAAGTCTTGTAATCTGCAGGCATCTTTCCCTTGAGTTCTCTTTCATAACCTACAATCACTTGAGGTGTTGTTCGCTGGAGTTCTTCTCTTGTGAACCACTGATCTTCACTGGGATCAAGATGGTGTCTGAATCTGACACGATATTGCATCCTTGGCTTGGGAGGACGGCCTATGCCAGGCGGTTCAGGCACTGGCATCATTCGATGCTCCATGATTCCGTCGATGTCGACTTCACCATCCATAGTTGGGGGGCAGCATTGACCGTCTGGAGGGAAACTGTGCAGTTTCTGCAAAAGGTGCCAGCTTTGAGGCGTGAAAAACTGGGTGTGTGTGTAGGTGAGGCGGGATGCGAATCACATAGGAAGGTCCGTCTATCTGATCCCCCACTATATCTAGGACCTCCCAAGGACCAAAATACTGTGGCATTAGCTTTCTAGAGATCCCCAATTCCTGTCCCAGTTCAAAAGATTTAACCCAGACCCGTTCTCCTACCTGAAACTGAGATGGCCGTCTGTGCTGGTTCTGAGATGCCACCATGGCATCTTGAGCTTTCTTAATGTGCTCTACAGCCTGTTGCAGCATCTGTTCATACTTGACAGCAAACTCTATGCTGCCAGGTGCTGCAGAGGGTTGACTCTCAGGTAGCAGAAAATCTAAGGCGGTTCTACGCTTCCAACCAAGATGCAGTTGGTTGGGAGTCATGCCGGTAGTACTATGTATAGCATTGTTATACAGGCTGGCAACGAGAGGCAATTTCTCGTCCCAGTCATCCTGACATGGCTTGATGTAATGCCTGAGCAGGTGCTGTACTACTCGGTTCATCTGTTCCGCCTGACCATTTGACTCAGGGTGATTCCCTGATGTCATCTGTAGTCTGGTACCCATCTGTTGGGCTGTGTTTTGCCACAGTTCGCTGGTAAAGCGAACATCCCTGTCAATGACAATGGACTTGGGTCCCGTACCCAGTTATCCATAAATAACCTGATGATGGAGTCAGTTTTAGCGGTCTCTGACATAGCGATCAGTCTTGCAAACTTGGAGAAACGGTCTACTATAACGAAGATGTGTCTCTTTCCACTCCTGCTGGTGACAAGAGTATCATGAAGTCCATGGACACACTTTGACCAGGACCTTCAGGAATCGGCAAAGGCTTGATAAGCCCAAGTGGAGCCTGAGTCCTAGGTTTGTCCCGTTGGCAAACCTGGCAGGTTTCAACGTACCCCTTGGCATCTTGCATCATAGTGGGCCACCAGAATCTCGGCACTAGGTTAGCTGACATCTTTTTATAGCCAAAATGACCAGTTGCATCATGCGAGGCTCAAGGCCTCGATCTGCCCTATGGGCCCTATTTTCTGTACAGTCGGCCGCCCAAAGTGAACGCAGGCTCGACCAAGGGCCAACAGGCCTATTTTGGGGTCACCGCGCAACAGGGCAAATTCAGGCAGTTGCGTAGCGCCAGTTGGTTGAAAGCGCCCAGGCCCAGGCTGCCTTTTTCCGTATGTAACTGAGGCAGGTCCTGGGTGAGATACACAACATGGACGAACACAGGCCGAGGGCAGTTGGACACGGGCAACTACCAGAGGCCCAGGGCCTGATTTGTGTGGACTGGGGCACCTCTCTGGGCCTACCGGAAGCTTCTAGGCAGGGGCCCAACGCAGCCAGGCTTCACGCAGCAGGCAGGCAATTTCCATTTAGGAAAGTGCCTGCCCATGCATTCCTCATTCGGGCATTGGCTGCATGCTGCGCAAGCGCTGCTGCGCTAACGCTGGCCAGCGCTCACGCACTCACGGTCGAGCTGGATGGGAAGGCAGCCATAGCCGAGCTGCGCTGCTGTATGCTGGATGGGGCGCATGGTGGTCCTTGGGTGCATGTGGCATCTATGTGTTGGGGATCGAGGTTGTGAGTGATGTGAGAGACATACCTGGTGCTTGAGGCGAACAGCATTGGCCGAGATCTGCTCATACTTCGGGGAGCTGTTGACGTCACCAGGGGCATTGTAGATAGGCTAGATAGGATCTGCCAGTCGTAGTCTGGGCGCCGAGCGCCAGATAGGATTTCGACATTGGTTCATTGTTGATGATGATGGGACTATTGGCACATCGTCACTTGTGAGCTTCTGTTGTGCTCTTCTTTGGTGGACCCCGTGGTGCAATTCTGCTTTTGGTTCGAGTTCTCGACTATCTGGTCTCATGTGTATGATGCTGTTTGGTCTTCTGGAATTCGCCACTGCTCATTTTCCTTGCAATTTGGTATCAGAGCAGTGGTACGATGCGCTAATCTGGCGCTTCTCTTCTGCCTATGCGGTACATTCATGCGGTATGCTGGGTGAGCTGCCGTAGGGAGTGTGTAATGAGGAGGGCGAAGACAAGCAGGCGACCCAGGTGGAGAGGGGATTGTCGGGAAAGCTATGTGTTACACGCCCAGTTGGGCGATGTATAAGGATAACCAAGGATCCGCAATGTGATGAGAAGGACTGAATGGACGATGCAATGCTAGTGAAATCTCAACAAGCAACGTACATCCTGATACATACAAAATGGTGCCTTCTGGCGCAACG